CTTCGGATGAATGTCTTCCATGTCAAAATAATAATATTAATGATTGTTGTAAGGATAATAGTCTTTACAATATTATATCTCAATTTCAAGATTTACAATTTAACATGTTAACAACTGATAATGTTTTAGAATTACTAAAACAAATACCAGATCATGATATTCGTGATAAAATAATTAAAATGATAGATGTGTCTAATAAAAAAGAAAAGGAAGTTAATAAAAAGGATATAGTTTTCAATAATAATCCTTATTCGATGCAGGAAATAGAAAAAAGAATGAAAAAATTACTAAATAAAGAAGAATCATCTTCTTCAGTTATAACTATTGCAGACTTACAAATAGAAGTTCATAATATAAAGAATGAAATAAAATATTTGAAACAAAATAACGAATTATTAGAAAAAAGGATTAAAATAATTGAGTATTCACAATCAGGTGAAACCTCTATAGTTGATCCACAAACTATTCAGAATTTAGCTGAAAATATATCTGAAGATCATAATTATGAATTTCTAAAAACAATACAAATAATTACATCTCAAAGATGGTATATAAAATTAACTCTAATGATAGATAGACAATTTGTCTTAAACAATGTTGCAATGATTGATAGTGGTGCTGATTTGTCTTGTGTTCAAGAAGGGTTAATACCCACGCAATATTTTGAAAAAACCTCGCATGCATTAAAATCCGCATCTAATCATACATTAGATATTTCATATAAATTGCCTAATGCTTTTGTTTGTCAGGATAATATTTGTCTTCCACAAACATTTTTATTAGTAAGAAATATGCCAGGAGTGCCTATTATATTAGGACTTCCATTTTTATGTATGTTATATCCACTTAAAGAAGTTAATTTTCAAGGTTTTACAGAACCTATAAAGATAAATCAATAAATTTCAGTTTGTCTCGACTCCTATAACAAGGTCTATTAGGTCATTAATAGAAGCTAAAGAAAAACAATTATTTTTCATTAAAAATGAAATTATGAATTTATCAATACCGAATTAATGAGTAATACTAAATTACAAGAAAAATAAAACATATTACAATACAATTTCAAGAATCGGTATGTCTTTGATCACCCAAATGCTTTTGGAATAGAAAGAAACATTTAGTTAATCTTCCTTATGAAGATAATTTTAATGAGAAGGATATTCCTACTAAGGCAAGACCATGTCAAATGAATTCGTATATATGAATTTATGTAAAGAAGAATTACATTCTTTGCTTCAAAAGGGTTTAATAAAACCTTCACAATCTCCTCGGTCATGTATCGCATTTTATGTTAATAATGCAATGAAAAGAACGTGGCGTCCCAAGATTAGTAATAAACTATAAGCCACTTAATAAAGTTTTAAAATGGATAAGATATCCTATACCTAATAAAAAGATTTATTATCAAAATTATATAATGCCAACATATTTTCTAAATTCGATTTAAAATCTGGATATTGGCAAATTCAAATAAATCTGAGCATACTTATAGAACTGCTTTTAATGTGCCTATAGGACAATTTGAATGGAATGTGATGCCATTCGGATTAAAAATGCTCCTTCGAATTTCGAAAATCAGAATGATATATTTATTCATTATATGGATTTTATAATTGTTTACATTGATGATATCTTAGTATTTTCCGATAATATTGAACAACATTTTAAACATCTTAATATATTAAAGGATGTTATTTTACGAAATGGCTTAGTAATATCTAAACCAAAGATGCTTTTGTTTCAACATAATATAAGATTTCTTGGTCATCAAATAAGTCAAGGGAAAATAACCCTATTCAACGATCAATTGAATTTTCTTCTAAATTTCCGATGTTTTTACCGAGAAAATTCAACTCCAGAGATTTCTAGGAAGTTTAAATTATATTTCACCATACTATAAAAATTTACGAAAGATTTAGCAATTTTATATGATTTGCTTAAAAATCAATTAAATTTGATTGATGAAAAGCATACTCAATTAGTTAAGCAAATAAAAGAAAAGGTAAAAACTCTACCATGTTTAACATTAGCAAATCCAAATTGGAAAAAGATAATCGAAACTGATGCTAGTAGCATAGGATTCGGTGGAATCTTGAAACAGATTAACCCTCATGATAATAATGAATATCTTATTAGATATCATTCTGGTAAATGGACAGAACCTCAAAAGAAATATGCAACTGTTGCACAAGAATTTCTTGCTATTATAAAATGTGTATTAAAATTCCAAGATGATTTATTTAATCAGTCATTTGTCATTCATACTGATGCACTTGCTGTTAAACACATGATTTATAAAGATTATAAGCATGATTCTTCAAAACAAATATATGCTCGATGGCAGGCTAATTTAGCCCCTTTTGATTTTGAAATTTTATATAAAAAAGGTAGTGATAATTCTTTACCTGATTTTTTATCACGTGAATATTTGCAGGATGGAGTGGCCACAAGTTAATTATCTTAAACCATTATCCGTGCTACATATTGCTTATAATAAGATTGTTGCTGAATATATGCATTATAGAACGGAATATATTTTTGCGAAGCATAGACTAAATCACTTTTTAAGAGTTCGTAATACAATTCTTGATTGTGCTGATGAATTTACTTCACCACAACAGATAATATCATTTGAAGACCTTGAATTTGTCTATGACATGATAGAAGACTTCACTGGAAGATTAACGAAAGTGAAGAAAAGTTGAATTATTGTAAAGCCAAATTATCATTAATAATTCTCTAATTTTTCAGGATTATGTATCCACCCGATAGAGGACGCGGCCCTTATAGAGGTCGTGGAGGAAGAACAATAAACCCCGTAATACAACATGGGAATAAAAGCTAATAGCTGCTGATTTTTCAAAATCTCGGAGGAATCCTCCTCATCAAATGCGAAATTGGTCCAAATAATGGATTTTATTCGAAAGATTTTGCATTATATAAGCGATTATGGACCAAATCCAAGAGCAACAAAGTGATACCTTTCTTTGCCAAAGTAAGTGATACTTGACCAGATGATATCCGGTCATATGAAAAAGGATCCACAAAGGAGGTAATATTCCTTCTTGAGAACGCTGATATTCGGTGGAAAGATGATCCATGGGTAATATTCCGGAGATATCTAGCGAGAAGGGTGACGATACGGGTGAGTCATACAAACCTGAAATTATTATGAGAATATTCTCAAACAAACATGTGAAATAACACATTTTCAGTCTAATCGACTACAATCAAGTTTATAACTTCTCAAAATTATTATCAAAAAGATTTTATCTTTTGAAGAATGGGAATTTCAACCCTTTACGAAAGAGAAGTACGTAATACTCCTACTTCTCCTCCTTTGAAATTTACTTACTGGGATTATATTCAAAGTTTTTACAAAACTTTTTATTATGAAAACCCAGAAAGAAGCATACTTGGTTCATAAAAATATGCTCCCATGTATATTCTTCTCCCATACCCAACTGGTTTATTCAAGGTGGGCATTATATGGCCCAACAAAGAAAAATTTTGCCAGATAATTTTTCAAAATTATATTATCAATGGTTAAAATCCTCTCCTATCATTGATAAACTTCAACACGATCATATCATGCTCCGGGAAAAATCACTCTGTTATACTTTTTATTGAATTCTCAATTCCTTGGATTTATAAATGGGTCCCCGAGGTGGGATTCAATGAATTTCAAATTCCGTGTCTTTATAAGACATATTACACCAAATTTTGGGACAAATTAACAAAGATGAATCACAATACAAAAAGAATGGAAGGACAAGATTTCTTGGACGAAATTGCCCGAAAAATCAAGGAATATACTCAAGACAAAGGACACTCAAAGCAAACCCAGATGAAGAAAGTCCGTTTAAACATATCACAAAACGGATTCAACTTGACAAGGAGCAATTAATAAGGAAGAAATAATATCCGCCTATATGAAAGAAGTTAAAGCAGATCTCATGAGAAATTTAAAGAATCTCGACAATGATAATACTTGGAAAAATCGATGTTTCGATGAAGAGCATAACTTCAAATGAAGAAAATTCGTTTGCAATATTGGCGGAGAATCTCGATCACGAGAAAAGATGACGATCACGATGAATTCATCAAAAATCATTACAAAGAGATCCAAGAATCACCAATCACCAAAGGAAAAGAAAAAGAATGAAGTGACAAAAGTAGGAATCTACTTTTGAAATTTTGACAAAAGTAGGAATCTACTTTTGAAATTTTGTACAAATAGACCACCACCTTCAGTCAAATCTGAAGAAAACCATGTCAAATAATGACAAAAGTTAATAATTTTTGTAGAATAGTAGTTTTAACTTTTGTAGAATAGTAGTTAGGCACTTTGTCTATAAATAGAATGTAGAAGTTCTTGTGGAGGAATCATTCTCTCCAAGCATTCTCTCATTTCTTCTCCCTTTATCCCGAAATTCTCTCTCTCCCTTGTAAAAACATCATTTAGAAAATATATCTTTCAAGTTTGAAGCATTGAAGAAGCCTTTAAAGGTAATATTTTCTTTTAAGTTTGTTTTAAGTTATAGTTTGAAGTACTCAGACAATGTCTGAGTAAATCCTTTGTCTGAATCAAACATTTGGCTTTTGTTTACATAAATTATACATGGAAGCTCTATCTCCTTCTTCTCTTTTAATTAAAATACGATGATTTGAGATTGGTTCCAATCCCGAGTTCAGTCGGAAAACTCAACAATAAGTGCATTGGGCTGGAAAAGTACCCGCTATGATGAATTGTTTTAGGGGAAAAGAGGCCACATGATGCACAATAAGTTGTGAATTCCAGACAGGCTTGAGAGTTGGGTGAAACTTTTCCATGCATCTCGATTATTGATATTTTAATTAAGGATGGATAGAGATTTTGATCCTGTAGCTGGCTGACAAGGCATAGCTCCCGGATGAATGGTATCAGCCAGGGTGGTGGTTTGGATTCCGGCCTGGTTTTCTGAGCTATTAGTTTCCAGTGAATGGTATCAGTTAGGGTGGTGGTTTGGATTCCGGCCTGGTTTTCTGGCTGACAAGGCATGCCTCAACATTTTATGAATTTTTTCAGTGATAAAAAAAATTTCGTAATAGAATAAAAACACTTTAAATGAATTATTTTTAATTTATACGACAAGTTAATAATATTTATTTTGTCCATACTGTACATTAATAACATTTGTCAATTAAGAAACTTTTAGGCCCACAAATATTAATTTAAATAATTTTTAGGTAATTGCAAAATACCTAGCTAGATTGATTTTCTTTTAGGACATGATGCAGACAATTCACAATAGTATTGCAAGTCTAAACTAAGGCACATCCATTAGTTCGAATTCGATGTTAACTCCAAAAGACAAAAAAAAAAAAACCAAAATAAAAATAAAAAATCGACGAATAGGGTGGAAACTGGTGATTTTTCTCAAGAGAAGATTATTATAGTATAAAAGGTAACCCGCGAGACTCCGTAAAAATTTGAATTTTTTTTTAGGTCACTAGTATTTTGGAATAAATATAATCAGTAAGCTAAACTTGGAAAAAGAAAAAATAATCCAAAAAATGGGTCGGAGCCGGAGCCGAAGCTTATCACGGTCGCCGTCCTCTCGCTCCCGGTCACCAGTCAGTCACAAGTACAGCAGCCGGCACCACCGGAGAGACCGCAGCGGCTCTCGTTACTCCAATTCTCACAGGTCAGCCTTGTATTTCGCTAAATTACTACTTGATTTCGGATTCCATTCGTTTTCTTCAAAATTTGGAATCATGCATCTGCTAATCCCGAACATTATGCATTTCCTGTGTTTGTTTATTTGCTTCAGTTCATGATCCGTGGTTGAAATTTTGTTTTGAGTCCATTGATTTGTGTTCCGCGAGTTTTATTTCGAATTCCGCAAATTCCGGTGTCGGATAAATTTCCTCCATTGTGGATTGTGCAGGCGAAGGAGCCGTTCAGCTACTCCTCGGAGACGTAGAAGTGGGTCACCGAATTTGCGGCGCCGAAAGAGCCGGTCTCCATCACCTAGGCGTCATCGGAGACGGAGGAGCAGAAGTGATTCGTTGTCACCGAGTAAGAGTAACAAGTCTCCAACTCCTAGTCTTACTTCTTCAGAGAAAAAAATTGCCATCGACAAGTCAAGGAAAGAGGAAGAAGAGAGGAAAAGGTACAGTTGTTTTCCTTAGTCACTCACTTTTGATGCCTTCTATCCAGCATAATGAAGTGTGTGGTTTATTCCAATTCTAGATTTTTTTCCGCATGTTACACCTAGTCAGTAGTTTATTTTTGTAGTATGTTAATTTTTGGGAAGGAGGGCAATCATGTTTTTAAAATGGTTATCCCTGTATCTGTTTAATTTTTTGTCAAATAATTCGCAAGAGTTCAAATGTACAATTAGGAAGCAAACTGTACGCTTAAGGGCATGTAAAGCATAATGATGCCCAAAAGACCAGATGAAGTTTCTGAATGCCATGAAAACTGTTGTATTTTTCTTATTCTTCTACAGCTGTGCATGGAGTGACTGTTCTGTGCAGTGATATCAAGGTTGAACCATTTAAAAGTATACAGATTAACTTTGTTGGCTCTCACAGTCAGGTCTGCAGCTATAGCAGTTAATGTATAATCACACCAGTTACCCATTTCCTTCCCCAATGATAGCTTGGAAATCAATGTAAAAGGATACTCATGTGTTGATTTTGCTAACTATCCGGTTATGTGGTTTAGTAAAAAAGAAAAGAGATAAAAACTGAAACAATATGTAATATTCTGAATCTAGTCTTACTTAAATATGATACAACTGCGAAGAAATATGGGAAGTTTTCTTTGTGCTTGAATACTTTGTCCTGTGACTTGAGGCTGTATTTAAGCTATTGTCTTAGCTCTATAAGAAAAGCTTTAAGTTAACTATAAAACTCTATATGCTTGCAGGCAACAACAAGAGGAAGAGCTCAAACGATTAGAAGAGGAGACTGCAAGGCGGTTAGCAGAAGAGATTCGGAAAAAGGTAGACGAAAAGTTGGCGTCTGAAGAAGTTAAGTTGGAAATAGAGAGAAGAGTAGAAGAAGGCACCCGAAAATTATTTGATGACGTTGAATCTCAACTTCAAAAGGAAAAAGAAGCCCGCCTTGCAGAGGCAAGGCAGAAAGAAGTAAGCAACTCTAAAACCAACTTCCAATTTCTTTATCAAGTATACAGTTTTCCCTTAAGTGCTCGTAATGTTCTCTATGTAATAGACCTGTTCACGATCCTTCGAATTCAAAGAAAGTGAAGAATCTCAGTTAGTCCTATTTGACTACTATTATATATTCAGCCATCAGAATGTGTGTATTCCTATCCACAAAGATGTTTAAAAAATTGCATGATGTTATGCCTCTCTAGAATCCATGATCGAATACATCAATTCTTCAGTCTTTGCAGTTGTTAATGATATAGGCTCTTATAATGCATAAAAGCAGAAGAAAAGCAGTAATGAAGCTTAGAATGTCTGTCATACTTAGTGCATATAAGAAATGCTTTTTTCCTATAAATACAATCCTTTTTGAGTTTCCTAGTTACTGTATTACTGAATATGTGTAAAGGATGAAATTCAAAAGGGGAGCAGAAGATCGCTCTAATTGATTACTTTTGTTACATGGTAACCCCTTCAAGCTTTTGCTTTTAGGGTGTCTTAAACCTAATTGCACCTCTAAAAGTATAGTTGGACACAGAGAGGGTGTTAAGATGGCCAATCTTATTTTTCTGCCCCGTGTCCTTAACTACTGAAAGATAGGGCAACTGATTGAAACCTATCAAGAGAAAGGAAAAATGGCCTTTGCGAGAAAAGAGTTTTTGGAAATATCATGGCTGAAACCTTTGAATTTTGTGTATTCAGGTGTACTTTTGCAGTTAGCCATATACTACTTAGAGTTTGGAAGTGTGTGCTTGCCCTATGGGCGTCTGATGTGGTAGAAGTTCAATTCGATTGTTTTCAAATTTGAATTTATTGTTTGAAAGGAAGACAAGCAATAAAAAGCTTTAGAACTTCCAGACTGACCAGTTATATGTTATTGAAACGTCAACTTAGGCTCAAATATGCTACTAAACAGAAGGTTGTTCAAGATATATTGGATGAGACTTGTTTCCAGTACTCACAATACGCACTGATATAGTGACATATTCTACCTTAAGTTCTTAAACTTGCTATGATTTTTACAAAACTAGGATTAAATTTGATCAGTCTTTAGTAGTTGTCCTTTTAATCCATAGTCTGCTGCAAGTTCTAGAATCTATGCATGGCTCTGAGAAGACCAGGGCTGTGTGGGGAATTTGCAAATCACAAGTGGCATACTCCACGGAGAGCATTCTTTTTGTCTCATGAGTGTATGCATCAGTCTCATTTTTCTGTCTGCATTTTAGTATGAAATGATTTTGCATCGAAATTTATTCAAGAATAAGATAAAACAAGAAAGAAACAAGAATTCAATTTTTAAATTTGGAAATGGAGGTGTTTCATCCATATTTGAGTGTGGATTACTTTGTAATATTGGGTTGCTTACACTTTTCTTCAATCATCGATCAGCTCTTAATGGTGAGGTGAGCAGGCTTCTTTTGTTGCTTTAGAAATTTGGTGTGGTTTGGTTTTGTGTGTTGGTAGCATGGTCCAGAAATATCTCATCAAGGCCTTGTTGGCAATTGCTTTTCTCTTTGATACCAACCATAATAACTCATGATCACTTGGTAAATACTGTTTGAAAAGCTTAGAGCAGTTCCGATTAAATATTCTTCTTCCTGAAGTTCTGTTGCTAATTCCGTTGTGGGGATTCTTGCATGTTTCCTTTGATATGGTCCAATAATGTACTCCATGTGGCCAAGTCTTTTTTTTAGCTACTCGATGCAAATGAGAAGAACAAACTAATTGTGTTATATTGCATGACAGGAACAAGCTCGAAAAGAGAGGGAGGAACTTGACAAGATGCTCGAGGAAAACAGAAGACGAGTAGAAGAGGCTCAGAGGATGCTAGCCTTGGAGCTGCAGCGGAAAGAGGAAGAACGGCATAGGGAGCTGGAGTTGATTCAGAGACAAAAAGAAGAGGGGTCTAGAAGGAAGAGATTGGAAGATGAAGACGAACGTGTGACTAGGTTGATGTCAGCAGGCAACAGTAGATCTCGGTCGAGGTCAATTGGTCTGTAGTTTTTGTTTGCGGAGATTAACATGACAATAAGCGGGACTGAAAATGAGGCTTTTCATTTGTTTCAAAGGATCTACCACTCTACCTCTTCTTAGATTATGCTTTCCAAGTGAAGCCCTTCGGCGGTCGCACATTGCTGAGGAAAATGTCTACCATTCTTTCTCTTTTTGAAACAAAACCTTTTACATGGTGCGTGAATGTTTTTAACTTGTAAACCTGAAACGAACATTTGCGATTTCTCGTGTTCGAGCAACGATAAATTTTAACAAAATTGTCAAATTAGAGCTTTTTCACATATATATATATATATATATATATATCATGTTTATCATTCGCCCATTCAAAGATTCAAATATTCTAAAAGTTAATGGGAATTACAAAATTACTCCCTATGATTGTACTCTTTGTTTTTATTTTTTGTAAAATTTTTACTAAAAGTGAAAAAAAATCTAAAATGAACAATCATTTTGAAGCACAGAAAGTATTTAATTATCGGCATGAATATTATACTTTATACTAAAATTAAAAATACATTAATATTATAAATTGTATTAAATTGTATTAAGATTAAAAGTCTAAATTGGACAATTATTTCGGAAGAAAGTATTTAATTACCTTGTCAACATTTATGTGCAATCTTTCGCAGCATGTCACACATTAATTCATAAGTACTGTATAATGAAAATCACTAATTGAATTGAACGCGCTTAGCCGTAATTTTAAAAATCTACAAAAATAATATAATATAATAAATCGAGGAAAAAAAGGAATGTAAAACAACATGATGCTAAATTATTGATTCTATTGAATAAATTCAATGTCACTTGTAATAGAATAACACGATTTATACATAATTTTATATTTAAATGCAAATACAAATATGCAACTAACAAATAAATTTTCTACGTTTAAGTTAAAATACATTTCGGATACATATATATATATATATAAACCCAAATCAACACTGGAAAGCGAAAAAATACTTATCTTGTAATATATACTTGGATTTCGATTCACAAGTTTGCTTTAAACTCGTAATTCTAAAATTTGTCAATATTTTCTAAATACATATATTAACATAGACATTTTTATTATTCTTATTCTGATAGTAACATCCATAAACGTATTAAAATATCCATGTAACTGTGAGTGTGTAAGTAACATGACAAATATAAGTAAATATTACTTAAATATTCAACAAACAACCCGCATGTAAATACACTCAAAATAGGGAGAAAAAATGTATGAACTATTCTAACATTTGAAACAAATAATATCAAAACATAATAAGCATAATACGATGAATATAAGAGAGATAGAAAAATATTTTGAAAGCATTCAAACTTTTTTCGATTCTCTAAATACTTTTTGTTTTAGTTTAAACAGAAAAATGAAATTATATACACTATGCTACTACGTAGGAGAGTAAATAGTATTGTACCTCTTCTTGGAAATAGGACGCCAATGAGAGAATTAACATTTGTAAAAAATTCAAGCATAAGAGAAACTTAGCGTTTCAGAATGATTAACAAAAAAAATATTCTCAATCTAAAGAGTTCTATTTAAAGTGTCGGAAATTGTACAAAACAAAACTAAGAAATAGAAATTAATGAAAAGGAGATGAAACAAAACTTTGAATCCCATAATGAATATTGAAGTAAGAAAATCCTCATTAGAGAATTGAAAGAAAAATAAAGAATAATTAATATTTTATATGGTAAATTAGAGGAAATAGAAAAAGTTAAAAAGAGAAGAAAAAGAGACTCGTACACGGGTCCTTTGGCCAAAAAAATTTAAAAGAATTGATGTGGACAAGTTGTCTCGGATTTGGCAAATCCGAGAGCCTAATTAAACAGACTCTCAGATTTCTCCAATCCAAAGTAATAAAATATAATAAAAATTATATATTTTCGTTCTTTTAGAAAATAAGGAAAATAGGGTCAACAGGTGAACAGTGAACTCAGATTTGAGAAATCCGAAAGGTTTTATTGGAACAGTGATTTCGGATTTGCCAAATCCGACTTCTAGGGTTTAGGGTTAGGATTCAGATTAGCCAAATTCGAGAGCTGCCTTTCAATTGAAAGGTAATCCGTCCTTGTGGATAAGGTTGTTGGATGTATTAAATCGGATCGGATAAGGTGACAGACATTTGAATTTGCCAAATCCAAGAGCCCCACATGAATAGTGTCTCTCGGATTTGCCAAATCCGAAACAACGTGATATAAAAAGAAAATATTGCAGCTTCCCTTCAAATCGGATTTTTTAATTTTTGAGGACTAGGGAAGGTTGTGGCCGGAGTTCTTCAGGATTTTTTACGCACATTAATGCTAAATACAACAAGAATCGTTATTCTAACGAGGTTAGTCATTAAATCAATTTTTTTTAGTTGTTTTGTTGTGTATATATATTGTTTTGAAGATGGAAGATTGGTATGGCTTAGGATTGATGATTGTGAATGTAATATGGTAATGTAGATGTTGTTGTTGAGTTTATATGTTAGGATTGTTGTTGTTTTAAGAATTGATAGAGGTTAATTTAATTAATTTGGATAGATTTTGTTTGTATGGATAATTGATAGGATTTAGGGATAATTTGTATGGATAATTTAATGAGAAAGGAGTTGTTTTTTTTTCTTTTAGGTGAGAATTGTTGTTGTTGTTGTATTTTTTTTAAGTGAGAATTGTTTTTTTTTTAGGTGAGAATTGTTTTTTTTTTCCTTTTAGATAAGAATTGTTGTTTTTTTTTAGGTGAGAATTGTTGTTTATTTTTTCTAGGTGATATTACGATTAATATAGTTAATGATTTTTTTGTCCCTTAATAAATAGTTAAAATGTCCACGCACGCGCTATACATACTTAATTTGTTTCATAGAAGCAAGTATGTGATCGAGAATGGCATAGTGAACACATTTGAGAACAAGCCGGACGACACTCTTGTTATTGATAGTAGATTGTCATATAATGATTTGGTTGGTTTGATTTGTGTGACGTTCGGTTGGAATCTTAAAATAGCTAAGAAACTCCACATTTTGTTAATATTTGTGACTCACGGTGTAAGGCGCCATGAAGATAAAGAATGATTCACATGTTGGGATCATCTATCACCTCGAGTCAATGACAAGTGTGGATTTGTACATTGTGACGGAGGATATCACTAACCAAGAAGATAGGAACAATCATTATGGTGGATCTTTCTTTGCACAAGATGGTCACATGGATAAGGGTGAACAAGATGGTCCAAGGCAAGAACAAACAAGTACTTCACGGGTTCATGAAAAAGGTGGTGGAAGTTTATTTGCACAAGATGCTCACATGGATAATAATGATTCCGACTACGTAGCTCCAAGCGAAAGCTCTGAAGCACGAGATCCTAGTGATGATGATGAAAGTGATGATAAAGAATTGGTGAATGAAGAAATGGACTAAATCCATTTCTCCGGTGCCATGTGTATAAGGAAATGGGTGAATGGAATGCGCCACGTGTTTACAAGGATGATCTTGATATAAAAATGTGGGACGAGACTCCCGAAGGGATGGGCAAGAAAGTTTGTTTCAAGTCAAGGAGAAGCGAAACATGCCGTGAAGTTGTGGAACATCCACCATAAAAGGGAGTTAAAGGTTATAGCGAGTAATCCTAAAACGTGGGCGGTTCGATGTAGGACATTAGATCCCCTCCCAAGATGGCGAACCTATATACAAATGAAGGATCCGCGTGTCACTAGGAAATCATGGCTTGCATCAAATAGTGAAATGGCGGTCCGCACACAATTGCATGAGGGTCGTTAACGATAATGGCAACCGTTGATGAGAATCATATAGCCTTCCATGGTGGTTCTCCTAGTGAGGGGAATGAGCTAGTCCTTTATTCTAGTTTTGTGATGCCAAGTTTACTTTGCAGGCCAATCAAAGAAGAAATGATGGATCTTGACTACCTATGTGATAGGGAGTTGGTTCAAGGGAGCTATGATCAAGATGATGAGAATGTCCTTAACTTTGGGGTTCAAATCAAAGGAGATGATTCACTCATGGAAATAAGTGCTCAAGAGTATCAAGGAAGTTTGACTCTAGGTGCTCCATGAAGATTATTGATCAAGCTAGAGAGAAGAGTCATTTAGGTTCTTGAATGGACGACCTATTTGATCAAAGTGTTCAAGATCGAGTTCATTGCTACACAATTGGATAGTGTGCAAACTATCTCAATTGTTTCAAGTGTTTTTCCATTCTTTTGGAGTCAATAAAGAGAATTCTACAAGTTTTGAAGTAAATTGGAGTTATCTACAACTTGAGGGGCGCAAGAACAATATTCCACCTTTTGAAAGGGCATTCAAGACATTTTACTTCAACAATTGTTGCTGAATTTCGAGATTAGAGTTGTCTAAGTCTAAGAGTTTAATTTTTCGAGTTTATCTAGTTAAGATAAGCCATGTGGGTTGAATTAAGCTAGAGTGTTTTGTTTAGGAGTCTTGTTCCTTCTAAGTATTATCCTATTTGAGGATAAGTCATTTAGAAAAGGTTTCCTAGATTTTAGATAAAGTCAAAGAGATCAAATACTCTTCTAACTCTACTCCTGCGAGAGATAAGATTAGACAGTCCTAGTTGGTCTTCTTTTGTGCTTTGTAACCATGGTTGCTACTCTATAAATAGGGGGCAAGGCCTAAGGTTCAAGGTACCCATGTGTGGTTATTTTGAATCTTCTCTAATGAGAGTTTTTCCTTTGAGGAATTTTTGTTAAATGGCCAATTTTCATTTGTCAAGTATGATTTACCAAGAGGGTTTTTGGTATCAGAGCTTGAACTACGAGATTGCTATCAGTTTTTGGTATCAGAGCTTGAACTATCTAAGTGATGGTATTAATTGATATTATCATTTCAGTTTTTAGTATCAGTTTGAGTTTCAAGAGATTTCTTTTTGATTAAGGACTTCATAGTTATTGGTTTGGAGAATAGCTTGAATCTTTAAGGAGAGAATTGATGCCAAAAAAGAGCTTTTGCTCGAGATAACCTTTTCTTTCTAAAGAGATGTCTTTACATGAAAAGGTTTTAAGAGTTTATCTTGTGGTAAATATCTTAGATCTATTCTTGAAAGGTGAAACTTAGTGATTTTGTACTTTCTACATAAAGTATAAATGAAAAAGCTTTCCTTCTTGTTGGTTCTCATTTGAATTTAATGAGTAAAATGGAATTTATGGATTTTCAATCAATGAAAACTTCATAGAGTTTCAATCTTTTTTGATTATTTTGTTTTGTTTAAATCTTAGTGTCAAAAGATTTTCAAAAGTAACAAATATCGGTTTTTGGTTTTTCTCGAGTTTATACTTTGAGAATGAGTCGAATTAGTGGATCTTCATATCATTGGACTTTCCGTGATTCTTAACTTGAGTTTCAAACTTTCTTTATTAGTTGATAAAGAATGAATTTTAGTGATATCAGTTTTGGTATCAAAGTGTTTTAAGGTCTTTAAAAGTTGAATTGTGCCAACTTTAAAGGTTGAAGTCTATTGACTTGTGTTAAAACCTTAGTTTTCGAGAGTTGAATCGAGAATTGAGTGAAGTTTTACTAAAAATTTTCTTATATATAACAAGAAATCTTATAAGGCTTTGAGATATGTTCTTGAAGTTTACATATTTGGTCTTTGGAAAATTTGATTTTCAAATGATCACTTATGAAGATGACCTTGTTGAGTCATTGAGTCGTATGAATGGTTTGTGTTAAATTGAGTATTATGAAGCAAACGTCAGAGTTGATTGAGGAACTTCAAATTCCAATTTCATTATACTTATGGTGTTCATGCTACTTTATTTGCCATAGATTGTTTGATGAAAAGTGATTTTGTTAATTCTATATTCATTTTGCTAAAAGATTTTTAGCAAGTATTCTAAAAGTTTTGGAACATTTTGGAAAGTGGTAATTTCCGAGATTCCTTTTAAAGTGAGTCAGAAGTAATTTTTCCGAGAATGACACAAGAAAGTAAAAAAGGTCACGCTGAGACAAGACTTGAGGCGAGAGAAAACCATAAAAATCGCGTGGAAATAGAAAAAAATGCATGCAATGAGAGAAAATCAGAGTGTGGTGAGGGTGAGGATTCTACTAACCCTTATATCTCGTTTGTTCCTTGTGCAGGTTTAGAGATTTATGATTCGAGGATGGATCCTCTTAAAGAAGAAGGGGATGATAAGAATCATATAGCCTTCCATGATGGTTCTCCTAGTGAGGGGAATGAACTAGTCCTTCATTCTAGTTTTGGGATGCCAAGTTTACTTTACAGGCCAATCAAAGAAGAAAGGATGGATCTTGACTGCCTATGTGATAGGGACTTAGTTCAAGGGAGCTATGATCAAGATGATGAGAATGTCGTTAACTTTGGGGTTCAAACCAAAGGAGATGATCCACTCATGGAAATAAGTGCTCAAGAGTATCAAGGGAGTTTGACTCTAGGTGCTCCATGAAGATCATTGATCAAGCTAGAGAGAAGAGTCATTTAGGTCCTTGAATGGACGACCTATTTGATCAAAGTGTTCAAGATCGAGTCCATTGCTACACAATTGGATAGTGTGCAAACTATCTCAATTGTTTCAAGTGTTTTTCCATTCTTTTGGAGTCAATAAAGAGAATTCTACAAGTTTTGGAGTAAATTAGAGTTATCTACAACTTGAGGGGCGCAAGAACAATATTCCACCTTTTGGAAGGGCGTTCAAGACATTTTACTTCAACAATTGTTGCTGAATTTCGAGATTAGAGTTGTCTAAGTCTAGGAGTTTAATTTTTCGAGTTTATCTAGTTAAGATAAGCCATGTGGGCTGAATTAAGCTAGAGTGTTTTGTTTAGGAGTCTTGTTCGTTCTAAGTATTATCCTATTTGAGGATAAGTAATTTAGAAAAGGTTTCCTAGATTTTAGATAAAGTCAAAGAGATCAAATACTCTTCTAACTCTACTCCTGCGAGAGATAAGATTAGACAGTCCTAGTTGGTCTTCTTTTGTGCTTTGTAACCAAGGTTGCTACTCTATAAATAGGGGGCAAGGCCTAAGGTTCAAGGTACCCATGTGTGGTTATTTTGAATCTTCTCTAATGAGAGTTTTTCCTTTAAGGAATTTTTGTTAAATGGTATGTCTATTTTTCATTTGTCAAGTATGATTTAACCAAGAGGGTTTTCATCTTGTCTTGGATCTTTTGATCTTGCAGAAACCGTTCTTTTTCAAGTATGCTTTTTGATAGAATTGTTTTAAAACTAAACTTCTTATTTTCATACTACTTCTTGTAGTTCGAGAGTTGAGCCTTTCTTTTGGCTATGGTTTTCAAAATTCATGATGTGTGTGTTCATGAGTTCCTTTGTGGGGTTTGTCCTACTTTTTGTTGGATGAGTTTTGCTTTGGCATAAACATTTTGAGATAGTGTTTGTATTGCATATCTTCGTTGGTTATAGAGATTACTAATCAATAGTATTCCTTCATAGTTGAGCATTGTTGCTCCTACCTTTCTTAAGTCTCTTGATTGATGACTGATCGAGTATATTGAATGGTGTGCTTACTGTTCTTAGTGTGGGTTGTTATTTAATTCGAATCTTTCATAGATTTTGTATTCTTTGCTTGGTTTGAGTTATAGAGATAGGTTTCCTTAGATAAACGATCGTCTTACTGTGAATTTTCAACACTCTTTTGAGTTTCACGGGATAGACAAATTATCTTTGTACTTTCTTGTTTGATGGTTGCATTAATGAAATTTGCTTCATCTACGAGATTGCTATCAACGTTGTGCGGACTCGGCATTTATTGCTAGATTAATCATGAGAAAGGTTGCGAACCGACATAGATTACACGGTAAAATCGATGCAAAACGATGTGAAGGAGTTAGTAAAAGTTGATTTTCCCTACAAAAGGGCGTAGAACGGGAGGAGGAAAGCTATAGAGGCAGTTTATGGCGATTAGAAGCTTATTGATGTTGTTTAAGGTTGGGGGGCGAAGTACTCTAACAATTAAGAAACGAATGTGTGGAATTGTGGAATTCTTCTTTATTTATTTTTTTTTTATGTATATATAGTGTTGTTTATAGTGTTTTTTTTTATTTGTGGTGTAGTCTTTGATGGAGGAGGATTCACTCAGTCCACCACCCAGTCCATAATATAATGAGTGGTTTCTTGAACCCGGTCCCATACGAGGAAAAATTTTGTATCTTCAAAAAGAACATCGGAGTTTAACAGTCTACCATGGCTCGGATTCAACGATCAAAACCAAACCTTTAAAAAATCGCTGGTTTGATCAAAAGTTTTGAGAGTGCTACTATAGTGATAAAACCCCTCCACAGGTGCGAATGCCCATTGCAAGGGCTGGGTCCGAGGGGGTATTGAAAATAGGTTGCAAAAAGTGCGATAATTGTCTCATCACCGCATTGGTGGAACGATGGAGACCTGAGCCACACACTTTTCACTTTCCATTCGGTGAGGCAACCGTGACGTTGCAAGATGTGGAAGTCCTATTTAGTATCCAGGTCGATGGGGACATGGTTTTTCCGGTTTGGTGCAATGGCAATCAATTTGCCAAGAGATGTTGGGATTCACCCCTGTCGAGGTCAAATAAGTGGAAATACTCTTAAGATTTTGGTTATAGAGGAAGCGGCGAAACGTGCAATCCCTGAACGTAATATTTAAATTTATTTATATTTTTAATATAACTTATATTAATTACTTTTTTGGCCAAACAAATATTAAGGTTTGAAGTGTTGTTTTTGTAGGTTCACCGGAGGTCGTATATCAACAAAGGACTCGATTAATGCTCCTGTGGTTTATGGATTCTTTTATGTTTCCGTACAGAAGTCAAAACAGACTTGGTTTATATTTATTGAACCATTTGGGGGATTTTAATCATTGTACAAAACTTAGTTGGGGATCGGCTCTACTTACTTACTTGTATTCTAGTCTGTGCGAGGCTAGTCATCATGAGAAACGTGATATAAACGGCTGTGAGTATGTTCTACATTTATTTATTTATTCAATGCATGGTAATTCAATTTGAAAAATATTTATAATATTGTGAAGTATTATTATTTATTGTTGTTATTATTGATTTAGGTTTGGGCATACGAGCGAATCCCGAGAATCATGCCCCAAAGAATTTTAAAGTGATTTGAGGAGGATCCTACAGCTTATTTAGCTTATCGGTGAGTTTATTTCCTATACTCTTAATTTAAAGATTACTAATATTTTTATTATTTTTATTAGATAAATAATACTTTTGATTTTTTTTTTGTATTGAAAGGTGGAATTGCTCATACTCCTACAAGGATGTCCCAAGGTCTAGTCTCTCAGGTTCTAGAGACCAATTGACCGCTTTAAAAGCGAGTGATGTAATCATGAATCATTTCTCAATTTATTATTTTTTTTCCCTCCATTGTTATGTGAATTAATTCGTTAATTCTCAATTTTTTCACAGTTTGTTTGACAACCCTACGAGGATCTCCTCCCTACCCTCCATGATTGTTGTAAATATGGAAGTGGCATTTGGATGGGAAGGACGTGAATATTCTATTGGGCTATCCGAGAACCCCACGAAATTGACAGGATCGTGAGACAGTTTGGCTACATTCAAGGAATTCTCCGAGGGCCTATGATTGCCAATATCCAAGAGAATAAGAATGGTCATGAACACAACATGTCTGAGCTTACTGAGAAAAATTGGGTGGAACACCATAGTAAAGTATGCCCCTATTGGAATAGGAGAGCCCGAAACATTCCGACAGATTTGGAGGAAGGGGAGCCCGGTCAAACTAATGAGAAGTACGAAGCGTGGCATAACAAAGCTTCGGTAAAATTGATAAGCGATCCGAGGCACTACTCATCTGCCAGATATGAGGCTTTCTCGAGCCGGGCGAAAGTCTATGTAAGTGCTTATTTTCAATTAATCTACGTATGGAAGTGCATTTTACTCTATTCATATAAATTTTAAATTATACTCCTTTAGTTAACGCATTATTTGATTTCCAGGGTGAAGTGCTGAACAATGTCCGTATGACGGTCATATCATTCCGAGAAGAACGTCGACGTGCCCATGACCTAGACACAGACCCCGAAAAGGTGCTCGACTATTTCGCAGACGTAACCCTCACTACTTTAACTCTTGAAAAGGACGATGAGATGCAAATTGAGGATTCCCAAATCCTTGTGAGGTATGGTACAAGTCGCCCCTCACAAGGTCTGTGCAGTGAAATAATGAAGCCGTGACCAAGAGAGAAAATTAGAGGGGGAAGAAACCGAATGAATCCTTTCAGGCCATCACAGGATCACGCAGAAGGTTCGGACCAACACGAGCAAGAGAACCGAGGAGGAGAGAATGTGGGAGGAGGGGAGGAAATGGGAGGAGATAATGTGAGAAGAGAGGACGATGTTGGTTTTTCGAGAGGATCTTACACCCCACATGAAGCCGAGGCCAAGAGAGAAAATTGGAGGGGGAAGAAACTGAAGGAATCCTTTTAGGCCATCACAGGATCACGCGGAAGGTTTGGGCCAACACGAGCAAGAGAACCGAGGAGGAGAGAATGTTGGAGGAAGGGAGGAAATGGGAGGAGATAATGTGAGAAGAGAGGACAGTGTTGGTTCTTCGAGAGGATCTTACACCCCACGTGAAGAAGAGGTACCTCTCACCATTACTCTCGGAAGAGAATCGCAAGTCCTAAATGTGGAGCCAATTCTTACAATCCGTCCAGAGTCGCAGGAACAAGGGGTTCGCAAATCCGACAGGCTGTGCAACCCGCTGGTTAAATTTACCCCGCCCACTATTCCTAGGAGAGGGAAAAAATGATTGTTTATTAGTCTTTTTTAGGATTTTTGAATGAATTTGGATTGTTAGTTGAGAATTTTACATTATTTTATTACGAAAATATGATCATTTTTTTGTTGAATTAGTTTGTTATGAATTGGTTGTTGGTGGTGTTTAAACGGGGTTAGGACTTGTGAAAACCAGTCCATTATTTTTTTTCAAATTTCCGGTATGTCTCGGATTTGGCAAATCCAAAAGACACCATTTGGGGTCCTTTCAGATTTGGCGAATCCGAGAGTTCCGCAGATTCTGCAGACCTTTCGGATTTGACAAATTCGAGACCCCTCCTATCTATTTTTACACTTGGAATTTTTGTTCGAAATTTGAAATAATATTTTATTTAATAACTTGAATTTTGCAAATCCGAAATACTTTGTCTTCAATTTGGCCGATCTGTTTCTAGCCAAATTTCATTTTTGAACACTTCAATTTTTTTTTTAAATATAAATTATTTTTTTATTGAAACCTTTTGGATTTACCAAATCCGAAATTTGATTAATTTTAATTAAATTTAATTAATTTTAGGTTGGACGGCTTTCAGATTAAGCAAATTCGAGTTGCCTTTCTCTCAGATTTGCTAAATTCGACTCTTTATGCCTCTCGGATTTGGCAAATCCAAAACATCTACTTCTATCCACCTTATTTCTTTTTGTCCAAATTCTTCCTTTGATAATTTTTCCGGTAAAAACACTCACTCGTACACATGTGGTAGTATAATAAAAAATTTCCAAGCTTTCTCTTTTAATGTATATGTGGATGATGATTAATAATCATAATACATTTCATCTTCTCCTACTCCTTTTCATCTTTCATTAATAATAACACTAATTAAAATAATAACACCAAAACATTAATTAACATTAATTAAAATAATAATTACATGTCAATTCAACTTATTCTCTTAATAAGTTATAGCTGCAATATTAAGGAGTTACTGCAAAAGAGTACTATCAAAACTTTATTATTAATTAGGATATAATAAAATGCAATTAATTAGTATTAATTAAAATAATAAAATGTCAGTTTTTTTTTCTTAAAGGTATTCTATCAAACCTTTGTCAAAATTTGCTTTTTATGAAATATGTTGATGAGTATGTTTAGTGAGTCGAGATCCAAAATTAAGAACTGTGGGAGAAGGTTTTAAGAGAGAAAAATGTAGCATTAGAGTTAGTCACATTAATTAATAATGAGTATTATAATAATAAAATTATTTTCGATAAGGGTAGTAAATTACTTACTTTCTATAAATTATGAAATTTTAAAAACTTTATTATGACATAATTACCCTTGTACTTATAATTCTTTCAATGAAAAAAAATAGAAAAGAAGTAAAATCCTTTTCCCTCTTCCTCAACATTCAAAACTACATCATTCAAAAAGGGATTACTTATCTCTGGTGGGGTTCCCAACGTTACCAAAAAAAAAGTTCTATCGGCTTAACTAATAAAACTATTAAACAAAACCTAATTACGAATCTAATAATCTAACAATCTAGCATTGGACATTAAAAATATTTCATAGTAATTAGAAAATACAACGAATGTGAAAATATATTTTTAAAAAAAAATTTTCAAATTAAAAAAATACGTACCCTATGTAAAATTTAAGACTAAGTCAAAATGTTTTATAATAAGGACCGGAGGGAGTACCCTTTAAACGTCCAATGCTAGATTGTTAGCGGGGCGGGGGATGGTTAATTTCATCTTAAAGTTTTGACTCCTTGATTGACTTCGTACAGTGGGTGTGTGTAGTAAAAAAGGGGGGAAAAGGAAGATAATGATTATTTGTTGAAAGAATGCAGGAAATCCCACCGGAATGTGGAAAGTTAATGTGACCGTTGTGAGGTTAAGTTGAGGCGGCGGGAATTCAGATTTGTTTTCGGTCACGTTGAAATAATTTTGATGATCACTACAGAAAAATCTCTCCTTTTTATTTGTGATAGTCCAATTGAGGGTTGTTTTGTGACACCCAGGTTTTGGGACGTCTCCGCTTAAGCATAAATAGTGAAACTTATAGTTTAATTAAATTCATTAATGAATAGTAATGGCTTAGCTTTCTTAAAATAGTATTATCTTCGTCCCACAAAAATAGTTCAATTTTAGACTTGTGAGATCATTATAACCTAAAATTAATTATTAAATTGGTAAATAACCTTGAAATTTTTAATTTTTCACATTAATTTTTTAATTTACAAGATTAAATCATCTAATTTTTATATTTATATCTTTCAAATTGGACTATTTTTTCGGGACAGAGGAAATAATAATGATAATAATAACTTATCCCTTTTACCCTATTAAAGCAGAATACATGATGTTGATGTGGCAACTTCTTATTAAAAATTTTTGGCTCCAAATGCATCATATTGCATTAACCATTCTGCCACGTGTCATCCCTTTTTAAAAGAAAAAAAATTCTTATCCAGAAAAACAAAAGCTACTTTACAAAAATAGCTACACAATTTTAACTCCTAACATTTATCATTTATCAATCAAATTAAAATAATATTTAAATTTGTCCATAAACTTATCCCCTTTATTACTCCATATTCTTTCGTATGATTTCTGAATCGTTGTACTTTTCAATATTTTTTCTCTTTTGAAAGATAATTTTTTTATTTTTATAATTATTTTTTGCTAAAAAAGAAAAAAAAACAAATGTGTAGCTATTTTATTTTTTCCAAATCAAGAATTCATTTATCTATTAACATAAAATTAAAGTAGAGGGGCGCCCAGACATCTGACTGGCCAAGCATCTAGTTTTGTCTTATAATCAAAACCAAACTCAATCCATTACCTAAATAAATGAATTTATAAATAGTACTCAATTACATCATTACGCACACCACCCCTTTTGCCCAATGCAAAACCATGCAAAACCCACTCATTCCATTTGTTAGTTTGGAAATATTAATTTCCTCACCTCACTTGGAAACCGGTTGAGACCCCAATTATTCATCACAAAAGCATTAATTTAAAACAACTCTCTTGTCTTCATTTTCTCACGCCATCCTCCCATTGGCTTCATCACTAATAAAACATTTCTTCACCAAAATCATCCTCGTCTCATCGGCCAAGACAATCGCCGACCATCACAATCCACACACCAGCTACAAAATCCAGTCCAAGCTTTCAAGAAGTAGAGGAGAGAGGAAAAGAAAAGGAACAACGGTAGCAAGGGAAGTTAAGAAGGAGAAGCGAGAGAGGTAGAAGAGGAAAGAAGGAAAAAAAATAAAGGTAATAGGAATTGAGAAATAATTCATTCTTTTCTTCCGTGATTCTAGTTATTATATTGATAGATTAAGGACTGAATTAAGCTTGGGAGAAGTGGAGAATAAGCTTTGCAGTCAAATATTGAATTAAAGGGCTGCATGTTAAAGATTAATGATTAAAAGACTACCAAATTAGAAAATGGAAACATATTTCTTGTGTTGTAGAGAACTTAAATTTGTCTTGTGTAGTGTTGCGTGTTTTGAAATGGAAATTAGTATTTACATTTTGTTCTTGGACAAATTAAAACTTGGGATGGAAGAGTTAGCATGGATTTTATTGCAACATAAAGTACTGTTTTAAGGGTCGGATTCTCTAGTGTCATGTATGAAATTCTCAGCATGTCACCTCCTAATGAATATAATGAAATTGAGTTTGGAAATTGAGGCTATGGCCGAGAGATTGGAAACGTAAGAAGAGAATTGTTTCTAATGACTTGTGCTTGTTTACAGCATTACGTTCGTTGACTTTTGATGTCATTGTATCTCTGGTTAATTCGTAGAAGTATTGATCCTGATGATGATGCTTTGCTTCATCTTTATTCGTTAATCATGTGCATAGAAATGAAGTAGAAAAGTACAGAGGTGTATGCCATGTTGTTAAACCTATAATTAATGGAAAACATGCTTTGTGTAATAGCTGGAAGTTGACTTTGAGGCTTCTGTTTTCCTAGACCAAATACCTTTTCCTCTCATGACTTTCATCGATATGATTCTTAAGGATTAGAAAATCATGTTTTCCGAAATTTGTATACTAAGGACTAGTCTTTTGTTTTCTTAAAAACATTTTGCATTTGCGTGCTACTCTTGAACTTGATATGAAGCTTTTGCATTCGTAAGCGAAGTTTGAAAACTGAGTGCACTCAGCCATAAGTTTTTCTTATAAAATGATATAGTGATGCTATAATTGCTTATTTGAATAACAGACTTTCCGACTGATCTTACGAGAGTTGAATGCTATCCAGGTGAGTAATTTGACTGCAAATTAATCCCCTTCGTGAAATTGAATATAGGGTAAATGGTCGGGAGTCTTGAATGTTACTTTCTCTGTCCAAAATTATTATCCAATTTGATATTTCACTTTTAGTACAATTTGAACTAGAAATGAAAACCCAAACTGGACAATAATAATGGGACGGAGGGAGTATATTGAAGTGTAACATTTCAAGCTTGTAAAGTTTAGGAATAGAATTGCGTCTAGAAATGCCTATTGAATTACTTGCCCCGGCGTGTACTTTATCACTCCGGTAATTGTACTGTTTGAATTACTTGGCTTGATTGACTTCCTGGAAATGTGATTTGATTGATTTGACTTGCCTTACTACTTGGTTAAGATATTTTGCTTTATGTGAGAAGATTGGCTTGATATATTTTGTCTTGGTAACTAGAGTGTCTTCACAACTAACTTGTCTGAACGTCATGACTTGAACACAATTAGAGTAATGTCTTGTTACTAATATGAGTGATGTTACGTCCTGAACTTGAATGAATATTAGCTTGCTTAATTAAAATAATTGGTTTGACCTAGTGTCTATAGAACAGTTTGATCTAATGGTTTTGGTCTCGATGAATTGTTTTGATTGAATGTTGTTGATTGAACTCGAATGCTCGTTACTTGACCGAAGCGTACTTTATCGTTTTGGAATACTTGTGCATGTTCTTGTTCGATTGTAAGGCCGGATCCACCCCCCTATAGGAAATCAAAACTGGCAGG